ATGGTATTTGCACGTTTGTTTAATTTCTGTTGTTGAAAATATAAGAGTTGTAGCTCTCGTTTCACTCTTTAGATAGCTTCGAGGAGGACAGCTGGGTTTTCGGCTCTTATATTTGTCCTATGGTATGACTATAGGGTGTTTAAATTAAACTCTGGTGTGCTTGCTTGTCTTCTGGGGTAATCAGTCCCGATAGAACAACAACAAAAATATCTTACTTGCAACACGAGATTCCGAATAAATACGAGCTCTAGTTTCATTGTTCCGCTAATATGCTTGCATTCAGGGTATGCTTGTAGCCCAACCAACAATCCAGGGGGCCTAATTCCTCTAATTTGCTGGTCGACAACGGCAATAGTCGGGTAAAAAAACATCTTCAGGGGATGCAATGAACTGAACCCAAAGGGAAAAGGTAGAAAGGAAAAAACAAAGAATAAAATATCAAAGAAGCCCTGGAAAAAAGTATTGAATGAGATGATTGATGATACTTTTGTATTGGAGAAAGTAGAAATGAACAAAGCTACTTTCGTTTTAGTGTTGTCTTCTTATAGAAAGATTCTTCATAATCCTGAGAGACCATGATATTTGTCCATTACCAAATATTCGAAATTGATTTCCTTGTAAATCGTCATAAAAATCATCTGGCTGTCGCACAGGATAATCATGGAACAAAAAACTTGAATGGGTTAATTCAAATCAAATCAAATTTATTATTGATCTGAAGACCATAAGTGGTATAAGACATGTCAAAAATTTGGATTATAGAGACAAACAGCAAAATTACAGAGTGAAAAGTTAAATGTTAAAATGATAAGTACAAGCACAGACATAGTAGGTACACTACAATTTAAATATCAAGATAAAATATGCAATTGCACACAGAGTATGACGGAATATACTATCAGTGATTTATATACTAAAAAATTCTTCCAAAGTATAGAATGCACCCTCAATTAGTGTTGTAGCACAGCTAATTTAATAATGAAGCAACTTATTGTAATAGTTTAATAAGAAGAACGTAAAGCGATTAGTCAACAAAAACGACCATTAGCAGAATACATACACTTTAGATAAGGAGCGACTACAACTACACTACTTATTTTTGACATCTATTTAACACAGAACATCTATAACACAGAAAAGATCATAGAGTTTGTGCAGAATTGTATTCAATTCAACAATTAATACTTTTTTCAGTGACTTCTTGAATCTGAAATAGGTAGGTTCATCTTTGATGTTTCGAGGAATTTAATTAAAAACTCGAATTCCGATGCTTAGAGGTCCGTTTTGTTATAGGTGCAATCTGTTTAGAGGAGTATTCAGCAAATGCCGATTCCTGGTGGAACGACCGTGAATGTCATTACGACAGAGCAAAGTATTTCTATGTTTGTAAATGTAACAAGCAGTTTCCAATATATCAAGAGAAATAAGGGGTAATACTTGTAGCTTTCTTATGAAGAAGTGACTACTTTTATAGGGTGTTCGTGATACAGAAAATATATTCAATTGAAGTTGAATCGATGCAAGGAATTAATTAAACAGAAAATATCGTAACAAGGTCTACTAGATTCTGTTTGGGGTTTGATGTTGCCAATTCGAAAAATGAAGCAGGTCGGTGAGATTGCTGTTGAGTGGACAAATTCTGTTCGATAAGATATCGAATGGTTTGTTGTATGCGTGTCCTTTGAAATTATATTGAGCGAAGGCAGGATTTGCTCGATTTTTGATTTATAAATATGATCAAATCAAATCGAAAGGGTTATATTTTTAGGAGTGACAAATTTTTGGGAGAGAAAGTTTTTGGCTTTCTACTACTCCATTTTGTTACAAAAAAAGTGTAGGAATCTTACAAAGAAAGGAANATTGTTATTATATGTGTACGGATAGAGTAATAAGTGTTTTTCGCAGTTATAAGTTGAACATTAGTAGTTAAATAGCAGTGATTACTTTGCACGTAAATCATTTTAAATAAATTATACCAAATATTGCTTATATATTTTGACAAAGAATTCTATTATCTAAACTATTTATATTCAAAACTATTTCCTGATTGATATGCACTTGAAAACATGTGTCGCGGGCTGCATGACGTCTTTTAACGTCTGTAAAAGAAAATATACCTGAGGTGATTTTACAAAAGGATTTATTCACGAATTGTTAGCCGTTTTGAAAAAGCCAGTTGCTGCAATTTGATATTTCCAAATATTTTTTTCATTTGCAGGTGAAATTGTTAGCCATTTTGGGAAAGCCAGTTGTTGGAATTGATGAGTTGCATTTTTCCTATTTGCAGATGAAATATGCAGTATTTTTCCGGAATGAACTTTTCAGTTCGCCTTTTAATGCACTTCAACTGATTTTTCACCGATTTTGCTTCATTTATTTCTCAAATCGTGAAAGAATATCTACCCAAAACTGCAAGAATAGTGGATAATTGAATAGTAAAGGATATTGTAACATCATGGCGGGCGCGGGGGGATCGTCTTTAACTACGGAGCTGAAAAGCGAATGTGAATAATGCAAAAAAGTGACAACCTCAGTTAAGTGTCATACATGTAAAGCAACCTTTCATCCAAAGTGCTTAGTACAGGTAGTCCAAGTGAAAAGTGCATCTTGACGGCATGAAATTGAAAACAATGAATCACATACACATTCTTGGTATCAAGAAGTAAGTCCATATGAGATTGAAAATAAACTTTTACATCAATTAGTGAAAGAACTTGAATCCGAATGTAACATTCTGGAAGAAAATCGCAGCCTTTTGAGAGATAAAGTGAATTTTCTATAAGAAAAACTTATTATATTAGAGAATAACAGTATTAGCACAAATGTTATCAATGGAAAAAACCATATAGCGGCAAAAAATATAATGCCGGTTCCAAAAACACCAGCTGTACACAGTCCTGAGTCATCATCACAAAAACTAGATTTGACATCTTATAGTTCAGTGATTAAGGACTCAAATAAAGAAGATAACCAGGAATGTCCTAAAATTATACAAGAGAGGAAGTTAATGCAGCAATCATGGCGGCTGAAGCGGCTAATTCGGTACGCGATGTGCAAAACTTGGAAATTGGAGTTGAAAAATGGCAATAAGTTTCTCGCAAAAAAGGTTTCAAGAAAAGTAGAAGAGTCATGATAAGCGGAAATGAGGAAATACCTGGCATTAGTACTGTGCCTTAAGTTACCTCTCTCCACGTAACTCGGCTGAAACCCGACACTGAATCTGATGTTCTGGAGAAAACACTGGAAAAAAACTTTCCCGAGGTAGTGTGCGAGAATCACCCATCCAAGTTTCTTGAACTCTATTCATCAATGAAAATTACAATCAACCAGGAAAACTTTGAGAAAGCATGGAGACCTGAAGTTTGGCCTGTGAAGAGGACTGCACCATCAACTCAGGGTCAGTTGGTGAGTCCCATGTTAAGAAACTAAATACTATCAACTCACCCAATCTGAGTGTATTTCACATAAATATACAGAGTCTCTCCAATAAAGTCGATGAGTTACGTGTATTTTTAGATGATTCTAATTATGATATTTTTTGTTTGTCAGAACATTGGCTCACAGAAGGAAAAATAAAAAATGTAAATTCACCTACTCACTTTTTAACTGCTTATGTCTGCAGAAAGAATATGAAACATGGTGGAGTTGCAATCTATTGTAAAAATAATTTGATTTCAAAAATATTAGACATGAATTCTTATAGTGTTGAACTCGACTCTGAATTCTGTGGCATTTTTATCAAATCAATCAATATGCTAATTATTTGTGTCTACAGATCATGTACAGTGGACGTCAATGTCTTTCTATCAAACCTAGATGCCCTTCTATCACAGTTACTGAAAAGCAACATGAAAATATCATTACTGGGAGATTTTAATATAGATTTCTTGTCTAACACAATTTCACATTTCCATCTTAAATGCTTACTAGATTCTTATGGTCTTAAAATAACTATCAATAGCTTCACAGGAGTCACTGCACAATCATCCACATGCATAGATAATATAATTACCAATCTACCTGAAAATTCATATGACACTGGTCTTCTTGACCCCTGTCTATCTGATCACAAAGGGCAATTTGCAATCAGAAATTCGTACAGAGAGATTTGACTTATGTTTTGTGGCTGAGTTAACTTCTGTACAATGGTCGATGGGTGACCAGTCAACATTTTGCATTAGAGTATATAAAAGTGGAAAATTGGGTTTACGAAAGTTATACCTGCTTTCTGATGAGTTATATGGTATTGCTTGTTCTGGTGATGAGAATTCAAAAATTATGTTCGTTGCTGGGTGAAAGCTATCATCGGTTAGAAGGGGTAGTTTATCGTGGGATACAGAGCATTGAAAATTAGATAAGACAAGGTCAAGTAAACGATTTGAAATTTTTTGCAGAGAATTGAATTGGTTTAGATCATAAAAACTATTGAATTGATGGAGATTGTCCAAGTTGTGATTCCCATTTATGAGATTTTCGTTTGAACAGTATGGTATATTGAAATCACCTATAATTGCTACCTATAATGCTATCAAAAATCTTCATTCTGATAAACCAAACAATACTCCATTTCAATATTATATATCTCCTTATAATCACGACCTTATGCATTTTTGTCATAAAATGATGAGTTCTATTTGTCACAATCTTCAATTCTATCTACCTACTTCAAACTCATTTCAAGAATCCAAGTTTGTGTTGTCTAGTAAAGTACTGTTTTAAAAGAACTGTTTTTCCGTTAATCAGCTGTCGCCCCCATACGAACGACAACTCTCAGAAGTTGAGAAACTTGTGCGAGCTAAGGACTAACGAGGTCTTACCTTTTAACGTGTGATTCCTAACACTTATAATGGATATCTACTAAACCTCTTTTTTATGTCCATATTTTATGTACATTTACTGGATATCTGTATTTACTGGAAAGAAGAAGATTTAACTTACCTATTTATTTCATTGCATTCACTTTAACTTTGTATGGATATTGATTGAAATGATATTTTCAGTCGACGTACGAGTATTCAGTTTCACTGTTATCCTTTCCGTCGATTACCTTCTGAAAGTTGCTGATTTTTTCAAAGTATCTGATATTGAAGAAAAGATTAAACACAATCAGCTCAAATCAACAACATCTATAGTCAATCAACAATCAAGTGGAACAAAGGTGTTTCCCGAACATGAAACCAATAAACAGATAACAATCAACTTGAAGCTAGAGAAGCCAGATATCGTTTTGGTTGAACATATGGATAATATCAACACAAATGCCATGATTCTCAATGTAAGTAGTTTCATAGGATACTGAATCAGTTCTATATTTGAAATATTTTAGGGAGAAATCTTGATAAAACTTCGACAAACCGGCCCACATCAGGTTGTTAATGGAATCATCAAAGACTTGCAACTATATACTTGTGTTTACGATGCAAGTCTTCGAGCTCAAACCAGAGGCAATGTTATATACCCGGTTACCATTAGCCTGGCTGGATCTACTCCTCAAGATATGGGGCTTCATATGGAGGTAATTTATATACAGTGTGATCTGAAAAGTCCGATTCATATAAACATTTTTATAGCTGTATTAAAAATTAAAAATGAATTTCTGCTTCGATCGAGGTGAAAAATAACTAAAAAAAGTTGTATCGAATGCGGCAATATTTATATTTTATAGAATCGATCGATACTTGACGAAAATCTACAACGTATTCAAGAAACATTTTATTGTGAGATTTTCACTACATAGTTTCACAAAACGCAACACGTGTTTCGTCATACAATAGCTTCTTCAGAAAATGAATATTTCTGAATGTAATCTCAGAATATTCATCTCCCTCAACTACCTACACCGTAGGTTCTGGTAAATGCCTGTCGGAAAACAACTACTTCCCCGGCTAATACCATACATTTATGCAATATACCTCACCGAGGTTAGTCTCGCAGATATTACTCGTTCATCCAACAGCAGGAACATGCTAAAATAGTTGAAGTCTGATAAAGATACGCTTGATGAAGCTATTGTGTAGCGAAACACGTGTTGCGTATTTGTAAAACTGTGCAGTGAAAATTTCTCAATTAAGTGTTTTTCTAATTGGCATTTACTGTCAAATTATATGTTTTCGAAAAACGATCTAATAGGGGGATTATTTCACAAAATACCGAAAAAGGTATGAAAAAAGTTTTTCTGAATGAAATTCTCAGCTTATATGCAAACTTTTAACTTCATTAGGTAACTTTGATTAGTAATTATACTGCAAGAATTCTAACTCAAAATCCCATGATTTTTCGTATCACGCTTCATTTTACGACCTCCGATCGGAACCTTGTGGACACCCCAACTAAAGGTAGGTGTGGCGTATGTAAGAGTGAGACGATGCAATATGTATGTGTATGTGAGAGAGAAGCTGATAACGTCAGTGTGGAGTACAGAAAAATCAAAGATGGTGATATACCAAAAGGGCACTAAGCCGTATCTTCGGTAATAAAAGTTGGATCTCATCTTGCAGCACATTAAATGAAAGGGAGACAAATGCAGAATTCATCGACAAAGAAAAAAAACAAAGATGATACCAAAAGGGCACCAAGCCATATCTTCGTTAAAAATAGTTGGATCTCAACATGCAGCACACCAAATGAAATGAAAACGAATGCAGACTTCAGCGACAAAGAAAAAAAACAAATATGATGTCGAGAGGGTACTAAGTTGTATTTTCGCTAATAATAGCTGCATCGACACGTTTAGCACATAAAATGGATAGAGAAGGAATGCAGAATTCATCGACAAAGAAAAATCAAAGATGGTGACATACCAAAAGGTCACTATACCGTATCTTTGTTAATAATAGTTGGATCACAACATGCAGCACATCAAATGGGGAAAAAATGCAGAATTCACCGTCAAAAAAAACACTAAACCGAAACCGTATTCTCTCGTTAATAATAATTAGATCGTCATGTGCATTATGTCTAATGAAGGGGAAAAGAATGCAGAATTCATCGACAAAGAAAAACCAAAGATGGCGCAACATGTCAGAAAGGTACTAAGCTGCATCTTCGTTAATAATAGTTGAATCTCAACGTGCAGCACATCAAATGGAAGGGAAACTAATGCAGAATTCATCGACAAAGAAAAAACAGAGATGTGCATGCCTGTCATTTGTCATTCACGGTCTCATCATGAGATATGGGTAAATTCCATACTTGGTCTTACGAAGGTTCATTTTGTTAATTTTCGTACCTCCGAATGGACTCTATGGAAGGCTCATCTCAACTTATGATACAGAGTAACGTCGGTCAGCCAATCAGAATGAAGGGAACAACTTTTTCTTACGTGGTTGTGTTAGATGAAGTTGAACTCGACAATTGGGGTTGAGTAACAATAAGTTTGGTCATTCAAAAGTCTAAATGTACGAATGGAATCGGAGATAAAATGGTATATGAAGGCAAGATAATCCCTCAGATATTCTAGATGGTTTTGCAGATTTCTTCAGTGGTTCTTATATAGTGTCAACATGCGAACAACAGTAGTGATATTCCCAGCCTAGTAATCAAAAACTTTAGTATTGAAGATGTACTGCGGGACCTGATCATATTCCATAATTTATCATTAAATATTGTACCTCAGCTCTGGTTGAACCAATTACAACTCTAATCAATATATGCCAGAAAACATCAACTGTATCAACTGTATATGGAAAATGTCGAAATGTCGAAATGTGTGCCCAGTTTTCAAAAAAGGAGATACAAGTGAGATAAAAAATTACTGACCAATTTCTATCATATGCAACTTTTGTAAAGTGTTTGAGATGCTTCTTGAGAAGACAATCTACTGTCATGTTAGTAACATTATTAGCCCCAATCAACACGGTTTCATGAAAGGACGTTCAACCATCACCAATCTTCTAACAGTCACTCAATGTGACTGTTAGAAGAGGGTATTGATTGTCAGTCTCAGACTGATGTCATCTACACTGATTTTTCTAAAAAGTTCGACATACTTAACCATAGTATCCTGCTCAACAAGCTTTCGACTTTTGGATTATCCAATGACTTGATTACTCTCTTCAAATCTTATTTTATAACCATAAGCGGTATGTCCAACTCAATGGCCTCAAGTCTGTCGAATATGTAGCCATACCTGGTGTACCACAAGGGTCAAACCTAGGACCCCTACTGTTCAATATGTTTATCAATGATATTGGAGCTGAGATTGATGTCAGTTTCTTTTATACGCAGATGACCTGAAACTCCATTATAATATAATATGTTCTAATGATTGCGAACGTCTCGCCCTGAATTTAAATCGTGTGTCAGAAGAATAATCTATCTCTCAACATATCCAAACGAAACTCACTGAAAAGGAATCCAACGTTACACAACTACGTCATAAAAAATCAAGTTTGGGGCATCCTGATACACTCACTGATCTAGGTGTTACTTTTGATGCATTCCTATCTTTCAATAAACATATTGACACTACTCTGACAACTGCTCATCGCATGTATGGATTCTTAGTTAGAAATACAAAAGACTCGAAAAAGCTTCAACATTGAAATTACTTTATTTCACTTTTGTTCGATCTGTCAGGTTCATATAAATCAACTAGAAGCCCTACAGAGGCTCTTCCTAAAATATGTCTTTTAAACTTGAAGGCACGTATTCTACTGCAGAAATACCCTATTATGAATTGCTTGAAACTCGCAATTTTTGTAGTCTCGAGGTAAAGCGTAAATATTATTCATTTCTTTTTTTATTCAAAATCATTAAACAATATCATTACCTGCTCTCAGTTGTTACATATGTTGAATTTTTGGGTTCCTAGACGGTCATCTAGGAATAGTGTCACCTTTTATCTCAACACTCCGCGAATAAATATAATGAAAAAATCCCCAATTTATACATAGTGCGATACCTCTAATTCTGTTAGTCGTGTTCTAGATATCAAAAGACATTTTTTGTTTACTGCCTGTCTTCAAGAATAGCCCACTGACTAATAAGAAAGTGTTTCTTCCTTATTCAGAGGAATCGGGAAAATTTCGGATATGCAGACAAGGAATGTGATACTCTGAAAGAATTTCGATATTCAATTATGGAATATCATCGACTTTAGGTCGATGATGGTCACTATCTTGCACTGACGAGTGGCTAAGGAGCCAGAAACGGGTTTGCAAGTGTGCCCGTTCCATAATTGAAGGTCGACTCTTTCAGTTGTCTTGCCAGTTGCATATGCAGGCAATTTTTTGTGAAGATTCCTGCACTGACGCCTGTCGGATATAATCCAACGCCGTACGTGGTATTAGCCAGTGGAGTAATTATTTTCTGATAGGCGTTAGTCCATTCAACCTACCGTGTAGGTATATCCGAGACGGGCTTGAACATTTAAAGTTCATTTCTTCAGATTCTTCTCTTAGTCGATTGATGTTGGTTGGATTCCTGGTTCAGATACTGTTCCGTTTGAGTGGGTTTTCGATATACAATTGTTTCCCATTTAGTGTCGGTCCTCTTCACCAATACGTCTAAGAATGGCAATTCCTTGTGGACTCTCCATTGTGAAAGTGATGGAAGGACTTACGTTGTTGATGTGCTTCAGGAAAGTGTCTAGTTCTGCATTTCCATGGTATTATCGGTATTATCTTCGACTATATGTTTATCATCGAAGCGTATATCTTCATTTCCTAGTATTCATTCCCCGTCAAGATATTTAGGATCATCAGCATTATTATAATATACACAATACGATTCTGCTTCCTCAGTGCCCATTGCTACGAAGCGATAACTGTGGTGTCTAATGCAAAACTTATCCGACTACTAAGATACTATATTTATAACCATCTAAAAACATCTGAAGAACTCTGAAGACTTTTGAAGGTATCTGAAGAACTCCGAGACCTCTTCTCTCGTATGATGTTGCGACATTATCACATACATTTGGCTAACACGATCGTCTCAAATCTGATGGAACCATCTAACACAGGGCTGCTTAAACTTTTTCCATTTACGACCTCATTTATGATTACGAGTTACCTGACGACTCCATATAAGTATGAAAAATGATAAATAAATATTTTTTGATGATTTATTCATTAGGTAACAATACACATATACAGTCTCAGGATATAGTCTCAGGATTTGTTTAGATACATACATATGATATAGTTCAAGTAAACGATATAGTGCAACCTACCTTCCAACAGTCCTTCTTTGATAATATAGTTGGAGAGCTGAATATTTTCGTAATTCAATAATCATTTATGATTCAATAAGAATCACAATAACTATAATATATATACAGGGTGTAACTAAATGAGTGTAAAACATTTAAGGAGGTGATTCCTCATCGAAAAAAAGATAGGATCTTTCATATAAAGAAATTTCATTGGAGCATCCCTTGTTAAGAAACAGCCCCTTAGAGGGGGTACATAAAATTTGTATAACAATTTTTTTCACAAGCACTGAAAAAGTTACAATTTTGAAATTAACCTGACGTTTTTTACTACCAAAAAGACACTTAGCCAGTAATTTATT